GTCCTCATTTTACTGACCTCAGAAGGATGAATCAACCTTGAGCCACTCAGAATCGAACTTCTGGAGTCAGAAGTGAGGTAGCCTGCAGTACTGCATTCTAATCACTGTGCCACCACAGCTCTTACTAAACGTTTAAAAGGTGAAATGATATTCTTATTGTGGAATGCAGGGTGTTGTGGTTAGCCAGCAGCAATGAGGAGGATGTTCCTGAGGAGCCTGTGCTAGGTGCAAGTAAGAGCAGGATGATTCATGGAAGAGCAGCACAGGCGACTTGGGAGTAAGAATGCTAATTAATGGCCCCTCCCTCCAGGGAATATAAGCCTGGTTTCAAATGGTTTTTGCCTTTGCAAAAGGCAAAAAAACGAAGGACTCAGTGTTGTGATTAAAGACTCTGGTTTACTTGAAGACTTCTGTCAAGGTTTTTCTAATTGGACTAATTGGCTGCAAGCCATCTGTTATCTACAAAGAGGTTTATTTATAGATTAAAGCCATGAAAGTTTGAGTTACTGAGTTTATCTGTGTTTGCTCTAGGGGAACCGGCTGGGTCAGAACAGTTTGATTTTTGCTAAAACAAAATTTATTTTTCTTAAGAGATGGATCAGCTGCAAGCTGAGAATGCTTTGCTACAACAACAGCTGGCTATGTTAGCTCGGCAGGTAGGCCAGCTTCAGGCTCTTACTGCTCCACCTCCTCCTCCCCCTCATCAGAGAAGATGCCCAGTTGCTTTGCCGGACAAGTTTGACGGCAACCAAGATATGTTTCCAGCTGTTTTGGGACAGTGCCAGCTATTCATTAGCTTGAGAGCAGAGGACTTCTCCACTGACCGGGATAAGGTGGGTTTTGTAATTAGCCTGCTCTCTGACTCTGCAGCATGCTGGGCCACACCCTTGCTGGTGCAAGATAGTGCTCTGCTGAATGACTTTGTGAATATCTGAGGGTAATGTATGAGGACCCTATTAAGACCCAGACTGCTGCTCGTCATGTGAAAGACTTGCAGCAGAGACAGCAATCTTTACAGGAGTACGTCAGTGAGTTTTGGCTGATTAGCCAGGATTCGGCTTGGAATGAGGCAGCACTTATGGACATGTTCCAAGACGGGCTGGTGAATGAGTTGCAGGATGAGCTGGCGCGAGTGGCCTGTCCTGCAACTCTCACTGAATTGATTCGCCTGTGCCTGAGGATTGATGCCCGTCTGCAGAGGCGGAACTGTTGTCGTGCTTCCCGAGCACCTCCTATGGCCCCTGTTGTGTATGAAACCTCGTTCCCACAGGAGGAGCCCATGGATCTAGGCGCTGCCAGATCCTGCTCATCGGTGATGAAGCGCAATAGACGGCGTGTCAAGGGGTTGTGTCTTTACTGTGGGAAATATGGACATTGGGCTGCTTCATGCCCCAAGAAGCAACAAGGGGTGTCGGTCCCAAGTCCTGCTCCTCGGACCCAGCAAACTTGTTTGGTTCCTGTACCTGCTCCCCAAACCCGGAAATCCTTGGATCGGGCGCACACAGGATTTGAATCATGTCCCTCAGAAGTGGATTCCAGCCCCCCTCGGCATTTGATCCTGGCAACTCAAGTGTTCCTGGCCAATAGTTCCCAGAGGATTCCAGTGCATGCTCTGGTGGATTCCGGCGCCACCATGGACTTCATGGACGTGGCCTTCGCAGAAAAGTATGCAATTCCCCAGTGCTCTGTAGACCCTTTTCTGCAGGTTGAAACCATTGATGTCTGGGTGCTTTTGTCTGGGCCTATCAAGGCTGCCACCAAGCCCTTGCATCTTACTATCAATGTGCATGAGGAGGTGATTCAGTTTTACGTCACTTCTGGATTGCATCTCCCTGTGGTTTTAGGTTTGGCATGGCTTCGGACTCAAGAACCCCAAATCTATTGGTCCCAGAATATGATCACATTCCTGAGTCTGCAGTGCATTGATCACACCCTTGACATCTGTGCAGGGATGGTAATGACTTCACCCCAGGTGTCTATGCCTTCGGATTTTACAGATGGGTTTAGTGAGCAGCAGGCTTTGAGGCACGCAGATCCACACCATCTGTTTGTAGTGGAAAAGCCTGAGTACCTGCATCCAGAGCATCAACTTCCGCTCCAGATGGGACGGCCCATAGAATCGTTCTCCGCTGTGCAGGAGCCAGTGGATTCACAGGCGCAGATTTGGGAGGCGCAGCAGCATAATGCTTGGGCTGATCAGCGGAGGCAAGAAGTGGGACCCAACTCACCGTGGTCGTTTGAGGAACTCTTGCGCTACTGCAACAAACTATGTCCTGGCAGGGCCACTTCGGGGGCTTATCTTGTCACAGTGTCACAACAATCCTGTAGCAGGGCATTTTGGCCTGTTCAAGACATTACACCTTTTCTCTCAGATTTTCTGGTGGCCCCGATTACAACACAATGTGCAGTCTTATGTAATGTCTTGCATGCAATGCTGGAAGCCTAAGGCAGTTTATAAGCGAGTTGTGAACCGCTCTCAGACAGCAACGCCGCCATTGGCTGTGGGGGATCGGGTGTGGGTGTCTACTCGGCATCTTCCATTCGACCAGCCAGAGAGGAAGCTTGACCATCAGTATCTTGGCCCGTTCCCTATAGAGGCAGTGATCAACCCAGTGGCCTACTGTCTGAAATTGCCTCGTTCGCTATGGGTCTATCCAGTGTTCCATTGCTCCCTTCTGGTTCTCAAACGGCCAGCCTGTCCGCTCTGCCAACCTGACCCTTCCCTGCCAGCACCATGTGATGGAGACAGTTCGTTGGAGTACAAGATCGCCAGTATTCGAGACTCTCAGTGGTTGAAAGGGCGATTTCAGTACCTGATTGAATGGAAAGGATACAGAACAGAGGCATTTACGTGGAAGGATGTGAAATATTGTATTTTATATCAACTGCCTTTCAGGGATGGCCCCTGTAAAGCACATGAAGATCCTCCAACCAGATAACTAGAGAATGAATGACTGGAACACTGGAGGAAAGTGCACCTCACCATTTCTCAATTTCCTCAAAGTCCAGCAGTAATGCTACCTCACATCAGACATCCACTATTTTAAATATGAAACTCCATCCAACAGAGGTGATACATCTAAAGCCAAGTCATCTCACCCATTTACTAGAGGCATTTTCATCTTGCCAGGATTACGTTTCAATGTCCTTTGCTCTACACAGTCTGTCATAGTTGTCAGTGAGAAAGTGAAAAATAATTTCAGGCATAAGCTTAAAAAAAAGATTATTTTCATGTTTGCACAGAAGACTGAAAAGGACTAGATGTTTTAATAATAGCAGAGGTGCTAAGCTTGGGCTAGGTCCAAAGCACTTCCTCAGAATCACTGAAAAGTGCACAGCCCTGCAGTTTAATATTTTTATTCTTGTTCCAAAATCAGATAAAAACAAGAGATCAAGCGTGTCAGCATTCTCTGCAATCCAAATCTACCAATGACTTCACCTAACACTTTCATCCAGAAGATAAAATGACTTTTTATCTAAATGTTCTTAATGAAGATGTTTTCAGACAAGGCCTTCCTAAATTGTATAGAATTGCAATGAGTTATCAATACAATTGTTATTGCACCAGTATATCCAAAAAAAAAGCACTGCCAACAACTCATCACAAGACTCTGAAGAACCTGCATGAAGTATTAGGGCACATGATACTTTGCACAAGCCCATTCTATTGTGCTCTGGACCAGAATAGATTACGGATTCCTCCAGAGTCATATTAGAATCCTGTATAAAATTGCAAGTAACAGTAATAAGTCAAGTCCTGTCTCTCACCACAAGACAGTTTAAATTAGAAGGGTTCCACCAGAAGTTGCCTTAAGTGCAATAATGACATACAAGTCACAGCATTCTTACCCTAACCCTAGCAAGAGCAGACACATATGATGCAATACACTCTCCAAAGCAGAGTGGCTGGCATGCTACAACACAAATCTGAGATAATAACAAGAACATGCAAGGACAGGTTTCCTGACAGGGAAAACAGAATCAGGCAGTTGCTTCCTTGCCAGAGACAGGATGTGAGCTTGACACCATTACTGAGTGCTTTATGCTGCTATCAGTACTAGAATCCAAGGATAAGGAAACTGCTACTATATTTTCAGGGTTTCCTTGCAATTGCAATGTTCAGTGGTGATTCCACTGAAGAAAACAGATTTCTATGAAGAGAACAGAAAATACATGAAATAATTCATTTGCAAAATTATTCATTTAGAAATCATATAGAGATAGGGAAGAGAGGAACTATGCACTGTGTCCTACTATAAAGACAGAAAAACAAGGCATTTATAGGGAAATATAAGCAGAACCCAAGCATTTCCACATAACTCTTAAATTATTCTGTTAATTTATATTCATAAATATAAAGGCATTCACCTACATGACTTATACTTGGACCTTTCTTAATTATACAATTTAAATCTGTTATATTGATTCCAAGGAAATAAGAACATTATTTATAAATAACATATAGTTCAATCTTGTGTGTCTGTTCAGGATGGCATACAATAGTACAACATCAATGAGGATGACCATAATTTCTACCAGATAGAAACATGGAGTCTTCAGCCACACTGGAATACCACAATAAGATCTGTACTTCCGTGTACTATGAAATGTTGGCTTGCTACAAACCATGATTTTCAAACCTCAGTTTGAAAAGAATCTGCAAATCCAGATTAGGCAGGAATCTAATAAGATATTAAGTAGACTATTAAGTGCTATCCTATGTTTAAAAGTTAACAAAAACAGGAAAAATCTGTAACAAACAAGATATTCGATTATTATTATTATTAAGATAGATTAAGGCAAAATTCTGAATTGCAACACATGACCTCCGGAACAGGGGACTCCAACCTTGGCAACTTTAAGACTTGTGGAACTCTGGGAGTTGAAGTCCACAAGTTTTAAAGTTGCCAAGGTTGGAGACCCCTGCTCTGGGAGACATCACTTCAACAAGAAAATATTTGTGGCAGCGAAGAAAAGTGAAGTGTCTTTGTAACGGATACCTTGTGACTTCGTGCTGCAGGAGGGCAACGCTGGGCACATAAAACATGACCCCAAAGAAAAGCAAAGATTCGCTGGCAAACTTGTCCAGCTGCTTTTTCAAAGGTTTCTCCAGTTCCACCCATCGCACTTGCTGGCTCTTGTTGTGAAACCAAAGGCCAAAATAGTGTGTCTAGAGAGAGAAAAGGTTTAAAAACAAACAAAAAAGTTATTATTTGGTCACATATACAAACAATAAACGTTTCTCTTTTTTTTCCTTTTCCCTTATATACTTTCTAACTGTTGCTATGCAAATTGGAGAATGAATTCACAGGTCATTCTGGGGTACTTCAGTGATGATTTTTTACAAGGCATCTGACCTTTGCAACCAATTCAATACATCTGGGATCATAAAATAAGCTCTTCAAAATTACTTTATTTATTTTTTTTGATTTATTTATTCAATCTCTATATCTACCCATCTCAAGCAAGTGACTCTGGGTTATGAACAACTATAAAACAATTAAAAACACTTGCAATATAATACACATTCAATAAATATGTAGCAGCCATGGAAAAATATCATTATAGAAGAATATATATGTGAATATAGGAATTATTGTAATTACAGGAATTATGTTATATAGGAATTATGTAAGAGATGCATCTGAAATCTCCTAATCCAGAAGCCACTCTAAACTTAATTTCTGCCAACTTTAATCAGACCCAGGGAAGATCACGTAATCCCTTTGAAGGTACAGGTACCTCCAAACCACCTGCCTCACTTGGGATAGGGAACCTTTTCCTGTTAGTTGAAGACGGGGCAGCATGTAAGACCATAAAGAACTAAGACAGTTTGACATTTTGAAATACGGTATCATCCAAGTACCCCAAAGATATTCAAACCATAGTTTTGTATATTTAAATAAACATTTATGTAAATACTTCAGCTCCCAAATAGACATTTAAATGCCAATCTTCAACAGTAAAATATGGAATGGCCAGCTTCAATCCTTGGCATTGCCAATTAAAAGGTTCAGAAAGCAAATAATGGGGAAGACCTGTAGCTGTAACCTTGGGACAGCCATTGTTTACTGCTCAGAAACAGGTAAACAATATTTGCCAGCTCCACTCTCCATCCTTAATTACTGAAATCTTCCAACAATAAATGACTATTCTCTCTCTCTCTCTCTCTCTCTCTCTCTCACACACACACACACACACGGAACTCAGAGGTACTCTGGTATCTGGAGGTCATGCTTACTTTGTTTATTTATTTATTTTATCTGTATTCTGACTTTATTTTTATTAAAAAAACTCAAGGTAGCTAACATATTCAACATACCTATCTTCACGTTGCCTTTTTTCACATTGCCACTTTCTGGCTTAATGTGGCTTTTTGGTAGAGGTGGGATTCAGCCGAACTAGTTGTTAAAATTCTGACCATTTCGGCAAACTGGCTAATCCCATCACTGGCTGGCCCCACCTCTGCCAGATTTTTTGAGCTGTTTTTCGAGCAAAAAATGGCCTGAAAAATGGGCCAAAAACCACCTCCAAAACGATCTTTTTCAAGTCATTTTTTTCAGATGGTTTTGGGGGGGTTTTCAGGCCATTTTCCAGGTGGAAAATGGCCCAAAATGCCCTGAAAATGAGTGAAAAACAGTCCCCAAATGCTCCCCAAAACAGCCTGGAAATGGCCCAAAAATGAATGAATGAAGAAATGAGAAGGAAGGAGGGAAGAAGAAAGGAGGGAAGGAAGGAATGAATTAATCCAGCTTTAGCTTAGTCTCTCTTTCAGAATTGCCTGCACATAAGTATTGTCAATCCTTCTCCTTGTGCTATTTATTTATTATTTCTGGGGTGCAAATGGGCTTTAATTGTAAATTGCTTCTGAGGAGTCAATGGAATTTATTGCCTCTGCCAGCTCAGGTGTAAAAAGTTGGCTGTTATGATACAATATATTGCTTTTTAATAAGCTCAGCCTCCAATGTCTTACTTTCCTTGGTGATGGGAGCAGAATGCTTTACTGGTCTCTCCTCATTCTTTTTTTTTTTGGGGGGGGGGGGATTTGCATCAGGAAACTGACAGTTGGTTAACCCTTTCATTTCTGGAAGTACTGCGTATAGGCCCAAAGCCTGAGGAAAGGGGGAGTGGCCAGGAGGAGGGGCTGGTGTGATGAGTGACATTGAATTGGCCATCTCTACTCAGTCACATGCCCACCTGGCCACGCTTACCCAGCCAGTCAGTAGCATATAGAACCGGTTGTTAAATTATTTGAATCCCACCACTGCTTTTAGGTCTTACCAATAACAATAATAGTGTGTAAAAATCTGATCAGCAAAATTAGCAGGATGCAAAACTAGATTCAGGATTGGAGTTAGAAGTTGAGTCTTTTCTCAATTAATACAGCTGTCAGATTTCCAAGTGATGAAATCCATTTTAAAAGAACAAAGTCCATCTTCAAAAAGATTTATTTTATTTAGGAAAGCATCAAATTGGCAAAGTCCATGGTAATTCCAGATCTGACCCAACCCGGAATTACCCCACAATATTAGAAGCTAGAAACATCCCACAAAAGTCACATTCTCCAACAGAAGTAATTCAATGTTGCTTGATGTCATAAATCTCCACCTCCAGGGGCCCAAGCACGGACAACTCCTTTCCAGACAACTCGTTTCCGGGAAAGAAGATCACCTAGCCATAACACTCTCTTTATCTCCACTCCTCCCCGCTTAGGAATGTGTCAAGCCCAAAACCCTTCCCCCCATGACTGCCACAGAGAAAATAAGAAAAAGAATATATACTAAGATAAACTAAAATGGCTACACTTATGTCAATTTTGGGCTTGACAACAGCTTTATTTAGTATCAGACAACAATTTAGCCTTAAGTGGCATGTAGGAACAGCAACTGAAATATTTAAAGCCCTAAGCAAGGAGGAAAAAGTACTGCTTACAAAAGGATCAAGGAGTTTAAAAATATGTTCCTGTACTTTTAGAGCATGATTTTTATTTGTTATTTGTAATGTGCTGGTATCACATTAACACTAATTGCTTACTGGCTTCCATGATTATTTACTCTTTTAGAGCAAATAGTCCCTAGGAAATTTCTCTTAATAAAGTAAGAAACTAAAACTGTATCTTTACAACAACAAAACTAAATAGGCCAGCAACATAAATCAGATAAAACTATTTACAATATACATTAAAAAGTTCAATTAATCAGAGTAACTAGTCTTAACTAAAAAAGGCTAAAGAAAATCAGGATTTTGAGGACTCTTAAAAAATCATTAAAATTTCAATACCTTAGCTGAAAAGGACTCAGTTTAGGATATAAAGAAAAATTCATCATAAAATAATTGATGGAACTAATAATTTTTGCCAGATATGAAACATAACGGAAATCTGATATATTCTAAATATTCTTAGATGTTTTTAAATTTAAATCTTTTGAAGTTGCATTGCCTTCTCAACATCAAATAGCAGAATCTCATTAAAAATATGGTTCCAAAATTATTTTTGGGGTGTGTGTGTGAAAACAAGCATAGCAATAAATGTTATTACAACTATCAACCAGAATCCAAGTTTCCTGTATCAGTTATGATAAAAGGCTGCCAATTATCCAAAATGACATGTGGTTAAAACTTAGATCAGTTGGAAGAAAGCTAGAGTTGCAGAGTAATTCAGAACAGCTTTTAAACGGTAGGTTTTGATAGCTTTTTTTAAAAAAAGAAAGTACTACAATGTAGTAACACAAGTCATCAGAAGAGATTCCAGAAGCAAACTAACAAAAGCAAAATGTATCATTTAAAGCTTGTCCAGCATTCCAAGAAAAATTGAATCAGTATAAATTCATGGTGCCTTGCAAGCGATGGTGATTGTAAAGAAAGCTACTCATTGTGCACCTTCAAACATTTTTGTGATGACTACACTAAGTTGTGGCAGAGAGTTTGGCCTGCAATCGAATGGAATGCAGGAATGCTATGTAGTTCATTCAATATTAACCCATATCTTAACTGGATAAGTGAATTATCAGACTGCAACTGCAAGAGCATAGAGATGAGTTCCATGAGCTGCATGCCAGCTATTTTATCATGCTTTTAGTCATCATTCCTAGCTTATTATATAAAATTCTGATTTTTCCTTTGGCCTTGCTCATTTTTAAGAAACAAAAACCAGAATTATACGTAACAAACAATGTTGACCAACTATTAATGGGATTAGCAAGAAGTCCATGACTTGATCTTAAAGGACGGCAAAACCCTACCCTTCCAAAAGCAGTCTAGGCAGCAATCAAATGTCCATCTACACTCCCAACAAGACAAAGTGAAAGACAGAGTGAAAGACAGAGAAAGAAAAGGCCCTCCTTGTCTTAGTTGTCCCATAAGAGCATTTATTTCCATTATCTTCCTAATGAAATGATTTAAATAACTGAAGTCTTATACTTTGGCATTATCTGTAAAAAGAACAGGGCGTCATGCAGGGTTATTGTCCAGCAAAGAAGAAACTTCTTTAGTATTGCAGCCCTGGTGTACAGCAGGGGTCCCCAAACTTGGCAAACTCCAGCTACTGGCTGGAGAATTTTGGGAGTTGAAGTCCACAAGTCTTAAAGTTGCCAAGTTTGGAGACCTCTGATGTACAGCCTCCAAAGCAACTTGTCATCAGCCTGTCCTCTCTGCATAAAACACAAGATAAAAACATCCTATTGTATTCTTAGCTGTTTCATACCATTAAAATCTTTTGGCCCAACTCTGGAATGAAGCACAGTGCCATTCCCACCTGCAGAGCTAGGTTTTCGATGAGTGGCTTGAGGTGGGAACAGTATTTGCTGGTGTCTACAGCAATTGCCTTTGTGTGATCTTTGTCTTCTCAATACGTACCTGAACATTCAAATTTTGGAGTGAGATAAATCTGTATGTTGCTCTTTTCTTTGTCATTCAGTGGGTGAGACTGAACAATGAACCTCTGCTTGGATTCAATTGTGAGTTGGATTAGGGGCAATAAAATGAAAGGGGATTTTGAAAAGAGGCAGACTGCATGAGGCTAATCATCCTTTGTCCAGCAATTTTGTGTTTCATTTATTAAGGGTGAACATTCATTCAAATAGCAAGATTATAACCTGAAGACATTGCTAAATACAGCCTGGGCACTAGAACCTCAGATTATCTCAATGCCCCAAAGCTATTTTTAAAGTAAGTTTTCATTCATTCATTCTTTGTAACTGTTCCTAGCCATGAAAATCAATTTCTCACACCCGTCTGGTAGTACTAATATAGGCTATTGGAGGTCAAAAACACTGAAGAAAACCACTACAGAATTAACTGGTAAAAGCAGCCTTATTCATGTCAACTCTATACTTCCTGTATTGCGTATTTTCTAATTCAGGTTAGAACTATAAGCCTTAAATAATTGGGATTCAGAAAGTTGAAGGTGTCTATTTCACCATGCCAAAGCATCTTGTGGTACTATAAGAACTATAAGACCAAACTCTATCAAAAGATGAAGGAAAGTATTTTGGCATTAGTATTCTTTTTGATAAATGCACTACATTCCCTAAAAAGATGCACTTGGCACCTACATAATCATTTGTTATTTTCTTAAGCATTTTCTTTTGGAAAACACATTAACATTTACCATATTTTTTGGAGTATAAGATGCACCTAGCTTTTGGGGAGGAAAACAAGAAAAAAAGATCTGCCTCCCAGCAATTTGCCTCCTTGCAGCAAACAGCCAATAGCCTGTTTCAGCTTCAGTACAGCCTGATTAGCACAAGCAGATGAGTCTCGGTTGGATCGGCCTCCCAACGATCAGCTGTTTCAGGCTGCAGGGACTGCCATAGCCTATTGCCACCTCCACATGACCCACTTTCAGCCTCTAGCCATCCCATTTTCGTCCCATTCTGAATGGCCGGGGTCAGAACAGGCAGAAAATGGGATGTATGGAGGCCAAACAGGGATGCACTGAGGCAAAAAATGGAATGCGGAGGCCAAAAATGGGGCACGCAGAAGCAGCAATAGGCAATGGCAATCCCTGCATCCTGAAACAGCTGGTCGTTGGGAGGCCGATCCAACTGACAATCAGCTGCTTGTGCTAATCAGGTTGTGCTGAAGCTGAAACAGGCTGTTTGCTGCAAGGAGGCAAACTGCTGGAGGCAGAAGCCGACGGGTGGGCGAGGCTTCGGCAACATTCGCTGTATAAGATGCACAGGCATATCCACCCACTTTTGGGGTGTCATATACTCCGGAAAATACGTACTAATTATACTGGAAGCATTATACTGTTATGGTATTTTAATATTTTACAATAGCAATAGCTGATTATTTTCCTCATTGTCTTGGAAAGTTGGATGCAGCTGTTACAAAATATTTTTTTAATAAATACAATATACACAATTCAAATAAAGGTGCAGACCATCCTTGTCCTGTCCTGACCACCTCTGCAACTTCTATGGAACTCCAGAAGGATAAAGCACACTTTGAGGTAGGGTTGCCCCTACAGATGCTACCTCTTGCTTAAAATAAAAATAGATATCTGAGGGCTGCAGGGTGGGTGGAAAGTACTGACATTATAACATTATCAGAGAGCAGGACTAGGATTTTCATGCTGTTTTCCTCTTCTTTTCTGTTCATTTTTTAAATAAAGTCATTTATAACATTCATGTATACTTTTTAAAGAAAAAATAGGTGGGAAATTGTACCACTCCATCAGTTTGTCACTAAATTTCAAACGATGATTTACAGGTCTATGGCTGAAGTAAAGCAGCACCATTCTTCCCTTAAGACAGGGGCGTCAAACTCACGTCATGGCGGCATCACATGACATATCGGGACTTTTTTCTCCTTTGCTAAAACGGGCGTGGGTGTGGCCACAGCATAACACATCTGGCCCACAGGCTGGGAGTTTGACAGCCCTGCCTTAAGAGGAAAGAGTTATTATGCTTTAGATTCTTGTGGCAATAAAATCAAGACTTGTAATAGCATTGAATTGAGATTCATGTTGAAATTCCAGTATACTTCAGTGAGAATTAGCTGACTTTCAAAACTAGACCAGAGGTGTCAAACTCGATTTCATTAAGAGCCATGTCAGAATTGTGTTTGACCTTGGAGAGCCGAGGTTGGTGTGGCCAGCTTGACATCACTTGTGTTGGGGGAGCACCTGTGGTGGCCCAAGCGTTCTGCCAGCAAAAATGGGCTTCCAAGCTCAGTTTTCGGCTGAGACGGCCTCCTGCAACTGTCTGCCAGAGAAAACAGAGTTCCGTTTTCACTGGCACAGGCACAGTGGGCCGGTTCTTCATTGTTTCCAGGGAGGTAGTGTGGGCCAGATCAAAGGACCCTGTGGGCCAGATCCGGCCCACAGGCCTTGAGTTTGACACCGTGCACTAAATCATACTGCTAGAATCAGCCTTACATGTCATGGACTGTTTAATCAAACAGAAGAAAAATTGATTTTAAGATACTTCTTTCAGCAAAACTAACATATATTTCATATGTACAGCAAACCCCATTAACAAAAGTGGCCTGGTGTCATGTGTGAATGTGGTTGTGTTGTTATCCACTCCAAATGTAAAGCAGCCTTTTGCTTATAGACAAAAAAAAAGATGTTTCTTTGCATATTAAGAGTTTCATCCTGACAGGAAATAACACTGAATCACAATCCAAACTGTAGGTAATAGACTGCCCTGATGTTTGGGTAAGCAAGATACATTTGCCAAAGTTCCATTTAGTGATAAGATCGGACCAATTCCAAGAATAACATGATTCTAATAAACAGATTCCAAATGACAAACAGCCAAAGCCAAAAATATACCAAGCAGCAAGTTACAGATGGTCTTTTCCTGGGTTACTCTCACCTCTGGTAATTCCAGCCTCTGAGCCACAGCCTCCAAGCATTCTTGCCCAGTGCTCTCCACAGACAATGTGCACTCAATCACATTGTTTTCCAACAGTTGAATCCGGGTCATGAAACAGTTCTTGCTCCGGACATTATAGCGTCGAGTCCTTCGTAATTTCAGCCCAAAAGGCATGACTGCTAAGCTAAAGCAGTTATCCCTCTCCTTCTCACACCTTAGATCTTCTTAGTAGGGAAGATTTGAACGCTGTTCCCCTATTTTCAGAAATTCTCCTCCAGGTTTGCAAAAGGTTGCCCATGCCAAAGGTGGATACCACAGCAATATCCTGAAAAACAACAATGCAATGTGTAGTTAATTGTCATGGAGTTGGCTGGGAAAGGATTTTTCCCTTGGGGCAGTAACAGCTGTTGCCTCTCAAAGATAGTTCAGACCATTGGCCAAACCCACAAGTTTTCTTTGAAGAAACACAGTACAAGAACATGTTCTCTTTGAACTCCCTGTCTATTACTAATGATTTCCTTCTTCACTTCTGGACTAGAGAAAAGTAGCAGACCACTAAGGCAGAAAGACAGAAATTGAAAATAGGATGAGAAAGACCAGCAGACTGTTTGTATCAATTGCATCTTGGGGATGCAATATATTTTCACAACCAGATTGAATGCTCTGTGGCCTTTTTTACTGGAAGTTAACTCAAGACAGTGCATTGTAAAGTTAGAAAACATGATAATAAAAGTAGCCTTAACCATAATTAGCCCAGGTGCACGTCTATAATAACTTTAAATTATTATTAATGCTGATAAAAGCAGGAATTAACTGTAACACATTTCCCAGGTCTCCTTGGGAACATTGAGTTATGGAAAGCCAAACTGTTTTATCAAACAGAAATTATGATAAATCAATTTCTTAAAATAATTAGAGTTATAACACAATCATTGGGGTATAGGATGAATCTGGAATCAACTAAAATGGTATGTAGATGTAAGGGAATGCTACCTTAGAGTGCTGTGAGTTTTAATAGACATTTTATACATTTTTTTAAAAAAAATGATTATTTGGGAGTGGTTCATATTTGGACTGCTTTATGTGCTGTTCAGGACTGTTGTTACAATATATGTAGCTATGTAAGTCTTTTTAAATCAACCCATCAATCAAATAACACAGAGTTACCAAAGGTCAGCTCCAAGCAATCTCATTTGCTTATTGAAATTAATGTTGTTCTTTAGGTAAATTATGAGGAAGACAAGAAGAAGCTGCTCTTGTAAGTTTCCTAGTCCAAATAATACCTTCTAAGTAATTTCACTGGTAGGAAACAAAAGTATGGAAAGCTATTTTTGTTTAAAATCTGCACCCTCAAAAACTAAACAAAATTAAAAACAATTCTAAGACTAGTAAAGCTAACCAGTAGGTCTAATCCAAAATGTTTGTACCCACCCTCCATTACTACAATAAGCCATGTTTAGGTTCCCAAGGGTAGTTGGTACTCTTGTCCCTCCAGTTGAAATATACTGCTATCAAAGCTTCCAATATTTCTAATGCCCTAGCATTAGACCAGCAGCTAAGAAGATAAGACCGATACATTTTCCCTCTTTTATTGCCAGAGCTGTTGTTTTTCAACTTATGAGAAAGAAATTAGTGTTCTAAATTGTTATCACAGTAAATCACTGTTGGCACTACAGCAGAGAGGAACCTAATTTTGTTTAGAGGGAGAGATCCAACTGGGTGGAGAATGAAGTCTCACATACATTTACATGGGGGTCTGAATAGAATTCTTTATAGGATAGAATTCTTTATTGGCCAAGTGTGATTGGACACACAAGGAATTTGCCAGTGCAAATACTCTCTGTATAAATAAAAGAAAAGATACATTTGTCAAGAGTCAAGAATCATAAAGTACAACACTTAATGATAATCATAGGGTACAATAAGCAATCAAATCATACTAGAAACAGTCAATATAAATCGTAAGGATACAAGCGACAAAGTTACAGTCATACAGACACAAGTGGGAGGGGATGGGTGATAAGGAGTGATAGAAGATTAACAGTAATAGCAGTGCAGATTTTGAACAGTTGAACAGTGTTGAGGGAATTATTTGTTTAGCAGAGTAATGGCATTTGCGAAAAAACCTGTCCTTCTGTCTAGTTGTTCTGGTGTGCAGTGCTCTATAGCGTAGTTTTGAGGGTAGGAGTTGAAACAGTTTATGTCCAGGATGTGAGGGGTTTGTAAGTATTTTCACAGCCCTTCTTTTTGACTCATGCAGTATACAGGTCCTCGATTGAAGGCGGGTTGGTAGTAATGGTTTTTTCTGCAGTCCTAACTATCCTCTGAAGTCTGTGTCAGTCCTGTTGGGTTGCAGAACCAAAACAGACAGCAGGGACATGCACTAACATTAGTTTGAATGAGACTATGTTCTTTTTTTGTGACCAAGGATCCTAATAAAAAATATCCCAAGTTCTACATGGAGGACTGTACAAATATTCAATATTAGAAATTTAGCTCCTCTTCAGATCTCCACCTGATTATATGGAATGGAAGGACAGAACCATGAGCACTGCCCATTCTTTTCTCAGTTTGAACCCTACAAACATTCAATTCAAATATGAACAAGTTTTCAGTTCCTTCTTCATCATGCTTCCCCCTTTGCCTTGTTCTTCTAATGTCAAAGCCCTACTATCAGGAAAAAAAAGTTAAAGGTGTAGAATGTTTTTTTACAACAACTCTCCCTCCCCGCCCCCCACAGTTAGATAGAATCCTAATAACAACTAGCCAATCAAGAAACAAAGTCTGGAATTTAATTCCATAAAGGCATCCGCTTGGATAAAGCTATTGTAAGAAACCCAATCCATTCTGTTTTTAGAAATGAAAAAGTAGGAAGAAAGGAAACTAGACAAAGATTATTAAGGGCAGGATTGGGTTGTGTCTTCAGTTTTTTTTTTTTTTTTTTTACAAACTGAACATCAAAACTACTTGGCAATGTTATTTTCCTTATTGTTTTACTTAAATAGATTTCCTTTCATCAGAACAGGCACTCCCTTAGAGTCATTTAACTTCAGAATAAAAATACATATTCTTTTATATGGTACTTCAAGGCTTGCAGAAACAAGAAGACAACAACTGAAAAAACTTGAATATAAAAATTGTGCAGACAAATTATGGAGTTATTCAGGTATAATTCAAGGGGCTAGTTATGATCTATAAAAGCCTTACATGACATATAGCCTAATTATTTGAAGGACCGCCTATCTCTTGTGGTATCAACCAAATCACGATGATCCAACAGGGTTGGTAAATTCCTGTTTCCTTCAGTCTAATAGTGTCATTATCAGATTGCAGAAGCATGTCTAGTCTGTCACTGACCTCTGGGATAAAGAGAACTAGGTGGCTCCCAACCTGGTGCCATACTTGAGAGCCTTAAAGACCTGTTTTTTTTCCTCAGGCTTTAAGCAAGGAGTCCCTTAAAGCAGTGGTCCCCAACCTTTTTTGTACCAGGGACCAGTTTCACGTAGAAACACTTTTTCAAGGACCGGCGGGGGG